GTAAAGTGTTCATATTTATTATTGCTCTCCAATTACATGAAATGCAAAAGAGGCCCATTACTTTTTACTTTAACTTCTATAAATAACTTGAATTCTTAATTCTCGAAAACAGCCCAGTCCTATTGAACAACACCTCAGAAATGGACTGAGTGAGAGAAAGGGGATGTGGTGACATTTGATCAGCTGTTAAGTACACTGAAAATACATTATGATCACTATTATCTTTAAAACAAAAACTCTGTTCTAAAGAAAAAAGACCATGGAAGCAGCATTTACAGTTTCCGTTATTCTTCTCTGTTAGTTAAAAAATGAAATTAGGTTTCCCAGTGGCTTTTGTCAACTTTAATGCACAACCTAAATGTAAGGGAGTCTTATTCTACTTCATGAATCATTTTCCAGGTGGTGGGTGTAATGCCTACTTAAAAGGATCAAACAGTAGTAAAACTGTGAATATCCTAGGAGCAGGATGGAATACCTTTTCTCAAATACTTAAATTCCTGATACACCTTGAGTTCTAACTTACAGCAGTACTAGTCGGTACAGAGCACTTCCAGAAAATGGGCGAATTCCCATGATACCAGGCCACTGGACGGAATTTTGAAGGACAGTAGGAAGAGAACAAAATGCACAGAGATTACCCTTAAAGGTCACTTGGCAAATGCCTGGCTATTCTCAGGAGTGGTCTCGCTCTGGTTACCAGCTAGTTTAAAAGAAACAGTAAAAAGAAATGGTATTGAATCCCCGAATGCTTAAACGTAGAGCCTCGACTGGACCCTGGACACAGAAGGAAGGGGAAAGTTAGGCTCAGGGAGCAGATTCTGTTACCTGGGAGACGCCTGGCCTTCTCTGTGTGTTTATGAAAGAAAAAGAAAAGGAAAGAAGGAGGGAGGGAGGGAAAGAAGGATGGCCAGGTGCTTCACTTTTTCTCCTGGTGGGTTCTGAAGACAGAACTGCTGGCTCTTCTCTCCCCTTGCCCTGGGAGGTGAGATGCAGGGCGGGCACCGGGGTCAGAGCCCGAGGGAGGGCAGGCGGGCGGTCGGGAGCTGCTGTACCTCGGTCTGCACCATGTTCACCCTCCGAGACCGCAGCTCCCGGACGCAGTTGTAGATGTCCACCACCCCTTCCCTCTCGGCCATGTCCAGCATGATGTCGATGACAATGAAACAGCCGGTCCTCCCTGCACCAGCGCTGCACAGAGAGAGGGCTCAGTCAGTGGAGGAGAAAGGACTTCTGTGCTCCTGCTTCCGCTTAGATTTTTACTGCGGTGAAACTCACATAACACGCAATGACCATCGTAAAGTGCACAACTCAGGGGCACCTGGCGCCTTCGCATCCATCGAGTTTCCAAACGTTTCCATCACCCCAAGGAGACCCGCACCCACTGCTCCCCGTGCTTCCTTTTGGAGCCTCGGGCCCTCCTCACCTGCAGTGCACCACCAACGGGCCTGCGTTGGGCGGGCTCTTGGATTTCACCTGCCGGACGAATCCTAGCAGCCCGGTGGCGTGGTAGGGGACGCCGTGGTCCGGCCAGCCCGTGAAGTGAAACTGTCTGATCTCGCGTATTTCATGAGCACCTCGCTGCCAGGGGTCAGTCCGCACAGCGCAGGAAGAGAACAAAGGAGAACAAACGGTGAGGGGCCAGGAGGGCGCCAAGGACCCCTAAGCAGTCAGGGAGCCCGGGGCTGGGAAAGTGAGCTGCTGGGAAGACGGTCATTCTTAGGTGCAACACGCGCTTTGAAAGCCTCCTCACAGGGAGGAAGATGTTCGTGGGGGTGAAAGGGGAGGGGATGTTTGGGGAAAACGCTAATTAACAGGTGCAATGGCAGCAAATGGGTGTGTCGCTGGGATTCCTTGAGGCTTCTTTCTAAACCCGTTAACGCAGGCTCTGTTAACAGTTTGTGTGTCACTTAGATCCTACGGTGTGAGGAGCGAGCCCAGAGAGGACGCACAGAACGGGGACGGGAAGGAACTAAGGGGTATCTGTGCGCTCAAGACCAGCTGCTGAGATGCAGACCCCTGTTGAGCTCTTCCGTGTTCTGGTGCTGTTTGCACCAGGCACTCGGGCTGTGCACACGCTGAGGATGTGCAGAAAGGCCACTGGAAGAAGGGCCACTTTCCAACGGGACGGGCCAGAGAACCACTTTCCACTGGTAGCTCGAGTTTGTTAGGTTTCTCTCTTTAATTGGCGTAAACATTTAACCCATTCGTCTGATCACCAACAATCAGCTGCAAACGCAATGCTTCAGGCCTGACTCCAGGGGCTGGGGCTGCAGAGATATGGAGATGGTGTCTCCTGCCTTCAGTGGTCAGCCTGTGGGAAACGGGCATGTCAAGAAAGATAAACCATGGAAATCCAGAGTTTTTTTTTTTTTTTTTGCGGTACGCGGGCCTCTCACTGTTGTGGCCTCTCCCGTTGCGGAGCACAGGCTCCGGACACGCGGGCACAGCGGCCATGGCTCACGGGCCCAGCTGCTCCGCGGCACGTGGGATCTTCCCGGACCAGGGCACGAACCCGCGTCCCCTGCATCGGCAGGCGGACTCTCAACCACTGCGCCACCAGGGAAGCCCCCAGAGGTATTTTTGCTGGAATTCTATGTTAGACCAGTAACCTGGAGAGGGTGGTCCACCACAGAACCGAAGGGAAGGCACAAGGGAACAGACTTCAAGTGTTTTTAATTTTTTTTAACATTTACTCTTGTTTTGAGAATAACTAAGTTTATTTATATCCATCTTTTTTTTTCTTTTTCTAACTATGAGCCTACGTATTAAGACTGTGTTTTAAAACACGAGTCTACTTTGAAAACAACAATTACTTCCAGAATCAAGGCTGGAGGTAACCTGAGATCAGACCTGACCTTCCCCCTTCTCTCTTTCCAGCACTGTTTCCTGGACACCATTTCTCCATTGGCCCTGGGTTTGGTTTTATTATCTTAACATTAAACACCCAGGAACCTTGTCACTTTCACCAGTAGCCGCTGTTCACGCAGAGGTAGCCAGGAAGAAATTTGGAATTTTTATGTGCTTTGAAAGTCTAGAAGAGGCAAACAATGATAGGTTTTAAAATTAAGACTTGTTTGCCATCAGGGCATTCATTTGTCTTGGTTTAATAACCCACAAGTGCTGAAGCTTTATTTCTCTTTGAAAATCATGCTATTCTTTAGTGGGGTTGAAGCATTAAGGAATTAAGCCGTCAGGGATTCACAAAGGAAAATGAACACTGTCATCTGCTAAATATGCTCTGTGACCCCAGAGCAAGATTACTGGGTGGTTAGGAGCCCACACTTTCTATCACTGAAACCATGGTAACATTTGGCTAAAGCCTCCATCAGAAGACACATGGTGAGCCTCTAAACCCCTGAGAGCTCCCCTGGCTTTACACAGGACGACAGGGCAGGGCAGGGGTGGTCCCAGGAAGTGGGAAAGCCTATAATAAAGATTCATTCATTCCAAAGAGGACAAAAGGGCATTTATGTCTCCCATACACTGTTGTTTTTCATTTTAAGTTTTTGAGCACTTCCCTTTCTAGCTTTGCTAGATTTCAGATCCAGCATCCCCAGAACCCGAACTCCATCCAACACGGGCTGGGTGCCCAACTGATCTAAAACTCATTTTCTCAGCAGGGTAAATGTCAGTGTCTGGGATGCAGCAAATCTTTTCCCAAAATAAACCTCCACCCTCTAATGTGTTCACTACGGACAAGATGAGGAATGGAAATGGCTTCTGAGTCACCTCTCACTCTTGTTCATGGACATGGCAGTTTCTTCTTTCACTGTTTTGTAATATATATGGGGGGAAAATCATAGATGTGATCAGTGATCACGGTCCAAAATATTTCCCAACTTGATATCAAGTATATTTTTTGTTCATTTTTCATTTACAAGGTTTAATGCTAAATAAATGAGTATCATATTATACGTAATATAATAAGTATTAATGCTATATGTTGGGTTGGCCAAAACGTTCGTTTGGAATTTCCCGTAACATCTTACGGGACAAACCCGAACGAACTTTTTGGCCAGCCCAGTAAAAGCGAGGTATTCATTTCCTTTTCCTTGTAATAGCTGGGAAGGAAGACCCCCACGACAAACAGTAGTGCTTAGCCCAGAGCGCGTGCTTGATAAATATGTGTGGATGGATGAATCCCTAGGCACATGCTCTGTCTTGCAGATTCAGGACCATATCCCTGCCTCTCTGAGCCCCAGGCACCTCCTAGGCAGAGAGAACTTGGTGTCCGTCGCCAGCTGCCTTTCTGCCAGCTTCGGCAGGGGTAGAGCCACCAGACAGTCTAGATCCATAGAAACTTTTCAGCTGTCTTCCTCCTGCCACGATGGGCACTTTGTTATTTAAAAGCTGTTCAGCTTTTGGAGTCACCAGCTACAGGGGAAAGGAAGGATGACTGTCCCATGCAAAACAGGAACTGACCAGTTTCAGGCTACAAACCTGCCTGCTTGTTTGCAGAACGGAGCCCAAACCCATTTTTCACCTTTAGGTTCCCTGATGCGAATACTCTCAAAATAGAATCAGAATTGGAGGACTCTCAAAGTATACACTTTACTTGGCTGGTTTTTTTTTTTTTAAGTTTCCTTTCTAATGAGAAAGTTTAAAACCTACAAGAAGTGCTCCACAGATGTACTAATGATTTGTTTTCCTTAGAGATTCCAATTGCCCCGTTAGAAAATCTGGCAACATGTCATTTTGATTTCCCCAAACGCTCTAACAAGCTCCTCATGCTTTCCTTCCTCCCACTACCTCTTTGCTGCTCGTCTGAGGACTAAATAACTGGGTATTTCAGGAACATTTCTGTGCAGCTGGGGATGTAGCCGAGAACACTAAGAGGTTAAAAAAAAGGGCAAAAAGACAAACAAATCCTTCCTTTAGCCACAGAGATGCATTTTCAGCTTATTAGAGAGCTGACTATTGTTCAAAGAACTCTGTTTAAGTGACGGCTTTTGGATGCTTTTTTTTTGTTTTAAAGAGGAAAATATTCTGGGTCTTTTATCACTATCTGTTTCAATGCAGTTATTCATGAGTGCTCTTGCCAAGAGCCATACAAAAATCCTCCATATGTTTTTTTTTTTCCCCCCAATCCTGCCTAAGAAGGGAAAAACCCGACATCAAAGTGTGAGGTTCAGAACTTGAAGAATTGAGTCAGCCAGAACTCCATGTTGTTTGAAGTCTCTAAGCCTCCTGCCTGCTTATTAAAAAAGACAGGCTGAGGGAAAAAAAAAAAAAAAGCTAAATAGTTTGAGAAACAGATTAAAATAAATGAAAGTCTCTTCAGCCTTGTGATTGTATGACAAACAGGGATTTGAAAACCAGGAGAGGCAGTTGAAAAAAATCAGGGTAAATGAGCCAGTAAGCAAACGCTGCAATTTCCTCATTTCCTAAAACTGGTCTTGTTAATCCAGAAAGTGCATTGAGATGCAGTGAGAAGTAGGGAGGCGGGCTGGGAGCCAACCGCCCTGGTCCACTTACAACCCGGGGCCTGCAAGGGCACCCGCCACTGGCAAATTCATCCAGTGTAAGGCTTACATCCAGTGTAAGGCTCAGCCGTGGACAGAAGCCGGGGGACCTCAGAGACAAAACTGTGGGTCCCCTTCTTCGAAGGCAAGGTGAGGACAGGAAGGCAGAGCGTTTGTCAGCCACGTCACCTCCACTACCCCCCACAGCCTACCTGTGACACTTCTCTGGATGGACTGCAGTTTGCTTCGCTTCCGGCCCCTCCCTATGTCAGCAGAAAGAGGGGGAGTAAGGAGATTCCCCGTTACGCCCTGTGGAGAAGGCACAGAGCAGCAGCCCCATCCATGCATGTGGGATGAGACTGTGGGACAGAGCACAGCATTCAGGACCCCACGCCCGCAGGGCCCGAGGGCTGAAACCAGCATGGGAGTGAATGGATGGAAGCGCTGGTTCATGCAAGAGCATCCCAGGTCTACTTATGTGTGTTTCCAGGTAGAAGCTTCCACCTGGAAAATCCATCAGTCCACATTAAACCATAGGCTGGAAAAGCCTCCAGGAGGTGGAGGGGATCCAGGAGGAGTTAGGACCTGTCTCTCCACACCGATATGAACTCAACACTGGGAAACCCACATGGCCATACAGCATGAAGGACATTTATTGAACTGTCTCTGAACAAGGACAGAGAGGTGAGCTGAACAATATCAATCGGGTTAAAAAGAAAAAGGAAGTAGACAGGTAGGTGTATCTTTTGGTTTAGTTGCAAAACACAGATTTTCATGAAATGGGAATGATTTGCTTCAAAGACGGAACTGAGCTATTACAGAATCACAGGGCAAGATGCAATCTTGAGAAATCACTGGATAGAGCCTACCTGCATTCCGGTGTGACCACGTATGAATTATCCCAGATAACTTAATGAGGCTGGTATCACTAATGTCTGACCAAAGCTTTTCAAAGCAGTGTGAAAACTTACCTTTTCAACAGCAAATGTTCTTATCACATATTCTGCCAGTAGCTCTGTTTCTATTAGGGTGACTTTAATGTCTTTGTAGATCTCTGTGTCATCTGGCCAGTATTTGCAGCATTTGACCTTTAGAAAACACAAAGGAAATGAAGATTTAGGGTTTTTTTTTGGAGTTCTCCAAATGATGGGTCACAGTACAATTTATAGGATACAATTTGCACACAAAATCAGAAGTACAGCTTAACTTTATTTTTTTAGATCACCTATACATTTTTTTCTCTCCCCAGAATAAAACACAATTTGAGTTATGGGAGGAATAAAACCTAGGAAAATGGTCTAAAGTTAACAAATTGTATTTATACTACAAACATCTCAGTTACAGTAACCATTCATTTCCTGTCTATCTCTACTCAGGAATGGCCTGGAAAAATAAACTATAAAAGTTAGCTTGCAGTATTTTAGCTCCTCTGAACTTTAAATTTCTTCTAGTTTCAGGAACTGATCGAACATTTTTGAGGAGGACTGAGCAGGAAACCAGAGCCCAAAGTACAGATTAGAGTTTGTTTTTTTGTTTTTCCTGAAGAAGGTAGTAGCTATGTGTTTTCCCCAAGTTAGAATTACAGATTCATTTCAGTATAAGTAAATTCAATATACAAAACCTGGTGAACTCCCTATGTTAATGACTAAGATTGCCTCAGTCACCCAGGCACAAAACCTGGCAGTCCTTCTCCAAAACCCAACCAACTGCCAAGTCTAAGAAGCCTTTGAAATATCTCTCAAATATGTTTTCCAAATTTTTATTCCCTCCGCCGCCATCTTCAGGCTCTGGTAGCTTCCTGCACCCCCTCCGTACCAGTAGCTGCAAAAACCCTTCCAAGTGCGATCCCGACGGCACTGACTTGCTCTGCTCGATAAACTTCCATTTCCAAACACTGCCCGTGAAATTAAATAGAAATTAACTTTGGCCTGGCAGGTAAAGATCTTTTTAGTATTTGGACACAACTGGCATCTTCATCCTTTTTTTTTTTTCACTACGCTCCTTTCTAGCCACATATATTTTATGTTCAGAGACAAGTGGTTTGCCTGATCCCCAAGCAGACCTCACGGTCCAGACCCCTACACATGCCATTCCTTCTGATCAGGATATTCTCCCACTCAGATGTTTTATCTATAGCTGAACATTTTATCCATTCTTCAAAGAATATCTCAAATGCCGCCCCCCTTCAAAGTCTTTTCTCCATGGACGCTCTCTGTTGGTGCTCCGATAAGATGTGCCAGTTCTGCTAGTATGACACCCCTCTTACACGCCTTATACCTGCTTATTACCTGCCAGCATGCAAAGGGCTTTCAATTGCTTATTTCTGCACACCCAGCAAATCTGGTATGTGTCCCATACACAGAAACTATGCAATAGGTACATGTAAAACTGAATTTCATGGAGACAAGCATAGGATCAGCGTAGGAAGGACAATCCCAGGTTGGGAAAATCTACAAAAAGAAATATGGACTGGGGTGGCCTGCGCGTCTGGAGCCTGTGCTCCGCAACAAGAGAGGCCGCGATAGTGAGAGGCCCGCGCACTGTGGTGAAGAGTGGCCCCCGCTCGCTGCAACTAGAGAAAGCCCTCGCACAGAAACAAAGACCCAGCGCAGCCAAAAATAAATAAATAAATTTATTTAAAAAAAAAAAAAAAAGATGGTCTCATTAAATTTTTAGCTTCCTTAGGGAATCTTTTTTTTTCCCCTCATGGGAACATTATCTGTGACTTTATAAAGGATAATCATTTACAAATATTTTGACTTATCCATATTTCAAAGATTTAGGCCGCGATAAGGCCCGCGCACTGTGGTGAAGAGTGGCCCCCGCTCGCTGCAACTAGAGAAAGCCCTCGCACAGAAACAAAGACCCAGCGCAGCCAAAAATAAATAAATAAATTTATTTAAAAAAAAAAAAAAAAGATGGTCTCATTAAATTTTTAGCTTCCTTAGGGAATCTTTTTTTTTCCCCTCATGGGAACATTATCTGTGACTTTATAAAGGATAATCATTTACAAATATTTTGACTTATCCATATTTCAAAGATTTATATCATGGATACCTGTGCCAGATCTAAAATATTCCAGAATAACAGAGATCTATAATTTCCCCAGTTCTTTTCCTAGATGTAAAGTGAGTCTGAGCAGATCATGCATATTTGTGATGTCTAATTTGATAACATCCCTAATTTCACTCATAGAATGTCTAATTACTTTCACAATGATAATTAACAAAGATGCTTATATGGCACGTACCAAAGTCTCCTCTATTTTAGGGGACTTGCTTTTACCTTTTTGTGACTTCAATCATGCAAGCAGAGGGTTGCGGGTAGATACAAAACTACGAATAGAGTATATATGTGCACTTTTAAAATTAAACAATTCTCAGGAATTCCCTGGCGGTCCAGTGGTTAGGATTCCGCGCTTCCACTGCAGGGGGCACGGGGTTCCATCCCTGGTTGGGGAACTAAGATCCCGCATGCCACGCGGCCAAAAAGAAAAAAAAAAAAAAAGAAAAATTAAACAATTCTCAATGGAATGAATACATAAGTCAAAAATCTGTGTATTGCTCCAAAAATTACAAAGTTAACCTATGTTAACTAGGTATATCTTGTCTAATAAAAGTGCCTTATTAGAATGTGATTGCTGTAGGACATAGTGTATAGTCACCTATTCTTCTCTTTTAGAGTGTTTACCCTCTCCATCCCCAAAGTTTCAATAACTACGGGTGTGGAGGCTTCAATGCCTGGGAGTCAGGGAAACCAAAAGCCTCTGCAATGTACCAAAGGCTTACAGCTTCTCTTGGGGACTGTTCTTCCAGTTCCCTTGGGGAAGCTCGGTTCCCAGGGATCTTGACCCTGCCGGGCCCTCCCGCCGGCTCTGCCATCCACCAACCTCCCGGGTGCAGCTGGGCGCCCCCGGGCGGTGGCGGCAGAAAGCGCCCTCCAGGTGCAGGGGTTGCCAGAGGGTGGCCACATCTAGCTCCCCAGGCTGGCTGCACGTTACTGTGACCTTCGGGGCACCTTGATGTCTCTGTAGCAGTGGTTCTCAAACTTCAGCAGGCATCACACGATCCTGGAGGCCTGTGATAAGTGCTGGGCCCCACCCCAGAGTTTCTGATCAGTAGGTCTGGATATGTGTGGTTCCAGAATTTGCATTTAAGACAAGCTCCCAGGTGATGCTGCTGGTCTGCGGACCACACTTTGAGAAGGAAGGATGTAGATGACAGCCTGACTACAGAGGCTGGCTCTCTCCTTAAGGCTGCGGTGAGCCTGGGTGAGTCACTCAGGTTTGCTTAATCTCAGTTTCTTCATCTGCAGGGGTGGTTTTTATTCTATCTCAGAGGGCTCTAAGGTTAAGGCAGGGGTTTCCAAATTTGCACGTTAGAATCATTTGCGGGGGGGGGGGGGGGGGGGTTTTTAAATTCCAAAGCCTTTTTTTTTTCTTTTTTTTTTTTTTTAATTAACGCTTTAAAATGGACGGATTGATTGATCCATTCATTCACTTGTGGTTATTAAATTCCAAAGCCTCGGCCACACTCCAGGCCAATTAAATCATCATTTTTAATGCAAATCGAAACCACAATGAGGTATCACCTCACACTGGTCAGAATGGCCACCATCAAAAAATCTACAAACAATAAATGCTGGAGAGGGTGTGGAGAAAAGGGAACCCTCCTACACTGTTGGTGGGAATGTAAACTGGGACAGCCACTATGGAGAACAGTATGGAGGTTCCTTAAAAAACTAGAGCTGCCATATGATCCAGCAATCCCACTCCTGGGCATAGATCTGGAGAAAACCATAATTTGAAAAGATACATGCTCCCCAATGTTCACTGCAGCACTATTTACAATAGCCAAGGCAAGAAAGCAACCTAAGTGTCCATCGACAGATGAATGGATAAAGAAGATGTGGTACTTATATACAATGGAATATTACTCAGCCATAAAAAGAACAAAATAACACCATTTGCAGTGACATGGATGGACCTAGAGACTGTCATACTGAGTGAAGTCAGAGAAAGACAAATGTCATATGATATCACTTATATGTGGAATCTAAAAAAGTGGCACAAATGAACTTATTTACAAAACAGAAATAGAGTCACAAACATAGAAAACAAACATATGGTTACCAGGGGGTAAGGCGGGGAGGGATAATTGGGAGATTGGGATTGACATATACACACTACTATATATAAATAGATAACTAATAAGGACCTACTCTATAGCACAGGAAACACTACTCGATACTCTGTAATGGCCTATATGGGAAAAGAATCTAAAAAAGAGTGGATATATGTATATGTATAACTGATTCACTTTGCTGTATACCTGAAACTAATACAACATTGTAAATCAATTATACTCCAATAAAAATTAATTAAAAAAATCATAATTTCCGGGTAAGACACAGGCATCCGTAATTTCTTATAGCCCCCAGGCGACTCCAAAGTGCAGATGTGTTTGGGACCCACTGGACTGAGTGATAACATCTGTCCTAGAGCAGATTCATTGTGAGTAGCCCCTCCAACCAGTGGAAATTCTTAATTTTATTATGATGATAGTTTTGTGGTGATCTGGACTGGAGGTGACCACGGGCAGTCAGAGGGCACAGATCCCCCTAAATGCCTGAAGAGGTGAAGCTGGGTTTCCTGGCGCAGGGAGAGGGCGAGAGCAGAGTGTTGAGTGCTGTGCCAGCTCTCTGCTGGGGAAACATAGGCAGAAGCCAAGGAAACTCCGGTGTGTTCTCTGCCCCTCTTTCCTGCACACCTATTCGGGGCACTGGTGGGCGAGTCCACTCTCTCACCAGGGAGGTTTGATTAACGCCCAACAGAAACTAGGAAAGGGTGTCCTGACTTGCAGAGGAGAATCACATCCAGTAGAGCCGTGAGGAGCCACAGAGACTGTTTCCAAACAGTTTCCTTTTCCAGATCATCACGAATGCCAGACATAGACTTTCACGCTTGGATTTTGCTTTGGAATCACTGGGTTCTTGCAACTGTGGCCTCACCAGTGGCTGGCCTGAGGGGAGAGCCAGCAGGGGCCAGGGCTGGTCTCCTTCCCCTTTATTCTCTCCCTGGCTTGTGTCC